AACGTATTTAAAATAGGTAGTATCTGCCTGTAATATGGAACTAAAGCTTCTCCGATCAAATCCCCAGATACGACTAAATGCTGCAAAACCTTTAAGACAGTGCAACAAACTTTGTGGTTGCGAAGATTCAATGCATTTTTAATAGGAATAATTAATTGGGGAATAACTGACAATATTTTGGCTCCACCATGCTCTAACATGTCATGAACACCTAAGTTGCTTGATAAAATAGTTATACAAACCTTGACGTGCAAAAAACTCGTAAGGATGCTCTGTTTCAGCCAGTCCTTCCATAAATAATGGTAAATAATGATGATAATCTAGCTTTTCTATCTCTACTTTCCATGCTATCTTATTTCCTTTACTATCATGTTCCAAAGCAATAGGAAAATCTCCTCTTTCGTAAAATATTCTAAATTGAGTTCCAGATTTAAGAGGTCTTTCAATAAATGCGCCTGCCCTAGGCGGAATTCCAACATCAACTTTTCGTAATAATGCTTGAGAAGTAAAAGCCCTTGATCTTCGTCCATTTGTGTCACTATTTTTTCTCGAATTATAATTAGAGCACTCTAACATCCTCACGATCTATATCAAAGTTCAGATTACTCAAAAAACGGTTGCCATGACATTTAAAATCCTATAACTAAAAGATATTTTAAGAATTAATAAATTCATTTTTAATCAAATAAAATTTATTTTTGTTTGATTTGCGTTTTATATTTTTATTGTTTTTTGGAGCTTTTTCAATTTATGTCTGACCTAGAAGATACCCCTGACGAAGAAATTAATATTGAAGGAAATAATTTTGTAGGACACATTGAGCAGACCATTCGAGGAGGAAATGATGCCGATGATAAGGCTGAAGAGCAGGAAATAGTTAGTGCATTACTTTACTCCATTTTTAGATTATTCGGGATTTGCCCTTGGCGCATGATATTGTCGTTGAATCGCTATCGATGCTAGCTAGTACTGGAGATGGCTTTCAGCATGCTTATATAAATTTTGAATGCAATGAAAGGTTTTCGGAAATTTATGATCCGTTATATATCTTAGAGGCGTTACTGATATTTCATTGCTGCAAAACTACACACATATACGTTTTTTGTATTTAAACGACAATGTAATTAGTGATCTTTCGCCTTTGAACAATTTGAAAAAAGTTATTAAGATATCAGCAACGAATAATCAGATAGTTGATCTATGTCTCCTTACGCCTTTGGACTATCTTCAAGTATTAGATATTTCCAACAACAAAATAATATATCCGTTCGGATTTTGTCAGCGATCTCTTACTCA